AGGCCCTCCCCCAACCACCCAGCCCCTTGCCATTTTCCTGGCTGGCATGTCTGCCTGCCATGCCCTCAGGCCTCCCCCGCCCCCACCCCTGCTTCAGCCACCGGGGACCCAGGCCCTTTCTGGCAAAGGGGGGCGTGGCGGGGGGGGTGGTGAGGAGGATCAGAAGCTTGGAACAGGAGGCCTGAATGACCTGGTGGCCAGGCGGGCAGGCAGCTGAGGACCCCTGCTCCCCAAAGCCCAGGCCTCCGTCCTCAGAGTCCATGTGGGCTCATGGGGTGCTGCCCAGAGGCCTGCAGCGGGGAGGGGATGTCAGGTCACAGGGCTCTGGCCTTCACCTGGGTCTGGGGGCGGGAAGCTGCCCACCTGGCTCGCCTGGTCCTTTTCCCTCTCTCGGCCTTCCTCTGAGTCCCCAGGAAACTGGACCCAGCTCAGCGGCTCCGGGGGCTTCTCTGACCCTCCACGGCCTCAGTGCCAGTAAGTGGGGCTCCCTGCAGAGTCAGAGCCCCCACCCAGCCCAGCCCCTCCTCCGGGTGGCGTGTGCAGGACTGGAACCCAGGCCTGGGACTCCAGGGCCTCTGGGTCCACCTGGGGGTGGGAGTTTGGGCTCAGTCTGAGCGGGAGGAGGAGGCTCCGGGATGGAGAGGAGAGCCCTCACTGGTGGGGCCTTCTGGCAACAGGGCGTCCGTCTCATTGCCGAGTCCGGGCAGGTCATGCAGGCCAGGCTGAGGCCCGCGGGGGAGCACAAGTGAGGGGCTGCAGAACCACCCATGCGGCGGGGAGAGCCAACGGCACCTTAAGTCTTAGGACCGTGTGCGAATGAGAGCCTAGGAGGCTGCAGCCCTGGGGGACGGGTGGGTGAGGGAAGGACTGAAAGGCAGTCGGAGGAACAAGCTAGGAGGCTTCGAGAGAGGACCACTGCGTGCAAGGGCCCTGAAGAGAGCAGGCAGGATCATGGAGGGGCTGGGCTGGGCAGCGATCCATCAGAGGAGCCCCAGGTGGGGAGAGGGGCAGGGCAGACCAAGGGCCATGCTGGCCACAGAGGGGACTCTGCGGGGACCCACGTGAGGCTTTGGAGCCGGGAAGGCCAGGTCTGATTTGCATTCTCCCTGATCTCTCCGGCTGCCGTGAGTGCGGACTGCGAGGATGGAGCCGTGAGCGGAGAGGAGGCTGGGAGAGGGTCCGGGAGAGGTAAGGGGCCTGGGCTGCGTACAGACCAGGGAGAGGACAGCTTGCACCTGGGCCCCAAGGACTGGGAAGGGCTTTGACATACGCACCTAAGCTGTGCACACCCAGCCCCTCA